AGCTATTGTCAGGTTCGTCAACAACGTCAGAAGGCCATGTAGGCCAACTGATTCTTTTAGTATCTTTATTTAAATCTTCAATATTTTCTACAAAATAAGGGCATAATAACAAATCAATATTTTTGGGCTCATAAACATTATGGAAGACATCGTATTGTTATGAAAAAAATAATTTTAGAATAATTTCATTTAATCTTACCTGCAAGCTTACCAATCCAAGCATAGTATCTTTGTTCTTTGCCGTCAATATCACTCTTTGCAGTTTTTACAGAATACAAAACATTAGTACTAAAATCTTTGTAATCTGTAGGGCAGAAGTTTGTACCTTCTCGCGTTTTAATTTTACGCACAGAGATATCTTCAACTTCACCATTATAATATTTAACTTTAGCATACCATTTCCGAAAGTCTGTAGAAGTCATTATATACTAAAATTTGAAATTAGAAAACATATGAAGCTAATTTAAAAATTAACACTGTCCGACAAATTTAGGGTGCTTTCCAGCAAGGACAGAATCAGACACTGTGTAACACAGAGAATCGTTTCATCCTCGTTTAATATAGGCAAACAACAGGGATGCAATAATTCACTGTGTTACACAGTGTCTACTTGTGTCGTAGCTGGAAAGCAGCCTTAATCTTATTTTAGACCATAAACCTGCAGTCAGGCAATCGTAATAGATTTTTTTTGTCATTAAAATAAACGAGACGTAAGTAAGACTTCGTGAAATCTACGAAAATAAATGTGTGTGTGTGTGTTGTGATTTTACTTAACCTAGATTATTATTCCGAACAGAAATCCGTTGTCTCCGTATATGAAAAAAAAGAGAAGGTTGATTTCTTCGGATCTTGCGACAAACATAATTAGTAATTAAGGAACGACGTCGTGGCGTAACAAAAAATGTTACGTTCAACGGATACGCTAAATAAGACGAATTCACACGCGAGGACACTCATGTACACGAAAAGACTTTCGCAAATGAACGATTCCGTTTAAAAGCTTAAAACTGACTTTATGATACTCCCCACATAGACGCCTGGATAATTCAAACTTACACCGCGATGGAATTATCTCGTTCTCCGGCTCCGCTCAGCTCTCGGTGGCTCGCTTGTTCCGACAACGGTACGGCGTACGCTCATACACATTGCACACACACACACACACACACACACATAATCTTACCAATGGCGCCAATAACGATTGTCAACTTGATCACCGAGCAGCAAGCCCGATCAGATCCCAGTAAAAACACAAAACAATGGTAATATACATAACATCAATGTTGCGGTCCTTGACGCTATAAATGCTTCGAAGAGTGTGATTATGATCAATCAGAGCAAAGAATTTTAAAATGTGACCAATCAAAGAGGTCAGCTTTTGGGCTTGAGTCTAGCAGTGCACACATATGAAACGCTATGTCCATGTGACAACGTGCGCAGCGCGTGATCGTCGCCCGGCTAAAATAAAAAACGCTTGTCATATTAAACCCTAAACACAATGCGAGGGAATAGCGATAGCGATAAGTTTCAACCTATCAAAAATGCGTATTCCGGTGTATTCGATTTCTGATAAGTTGAAACTTATCGCTATCGCTATTCCTTCGCATTGTGTCTTGGGCTTTACATAGATATACATACATAGAGGCCCATATTCAGAACTTCAGAACGCGGCTACAACGATGCTTTAGTTTACGACACGTATTTCAGAGATAAAAGTGCGTTCTGAATACGGGCCAGAGCGTTTAATTCCTGTGTGCAGAATAATGACTTCGTCGTCCGGAATAGCCGTCTATTCGATGGCGAGTGCCATATTAAATTAGAATTATTCGACTTCGTCGTGGTATCGTGACGTACGTGTCTTAATGCGCATTACTGTTCGGAGTTAGGTTGTGTTTTGTCCCGAAAATTTTTTGTAAGTATTGTATAAGCAATTTCGTTTTTGAGATTTAAATTTGTATAAGCAAATTTGTTTTTGATAGTTATTTGTAATATGAGTCTTACCGAAAATATTGATGAAAAATTTATCTTTAAAACCGTATACAAGTATTATAGTATGGCACACTGACCTAATTCCGTACCCTTTTTAGTGCGTCCGACTGTCTCTCGTAACCCTCCGCAGGGCGAGACGATCGGGAGACACATCTGGTGTCAGTTACGTTCTTCCGAGGTCTCCTCCTTAACCCAGAACTTCCCACGTAATAAAAATCCTGAGGCTTGGACGTAACATTATTCTTCCATATATCGTTCACGCATATTGCATTTCGATGTGATTTTGTTCTCTATAATCTTCAAAACATTCAATTTAATTTAACACTTAATAATTCACTTCGAAAGGCAGAGCGTACTTTATTTCTGTCTTCATATATCAAAACACATTATATAAGTATATTTTCATCAATATTTACAATGAGATTTATATTGTAAGTAATTATTACATTTTTTGTTTAACATCACCATTGAGTTCTATTATTATAGTTTAACTACTTTTTCAGATCTTTTGGTAACGGTCAAACCGTCTCCACGACTCACAATTTTGAAAAAAGAGACACATATCAATAAATTGAAGTATAAGCATTATGATGAAATATAAGCAATATCTTTATAAAGATATTTTAATTCCTCGTAGTACTATGTATTACTGGAAAAAGAAAATGCATAAACGGATTAACAAGAGAAACAGAACTAGTATACAGGTTAGTAAGATTCAAATATAATATTTACTTCACACGCACACAAAAGATTAGTTTTAATACTTCTCTAAAATCATAAGTTTCTTTTTTTTTTAATATTATATATATAATTATCTATTCTTATTTCAGAAACATGATAATACACGACATGATGACATGAATCAGATACCAGTGTGCAGACTAAGTGTAAATAATACACAAACTTTCAATCACTTGAAATCTGAGAATATAGTAAACGAGGTAATTTTATAATTAAATCTTTTCCGCGAAGTTAAAAATGTATCTGTGTAAAAAATGTGTGATCGCTAAAAAGAAAAATTGTAAAAAAAAGAACATTCTCGTATAAAAACATTAATTCTTTGTAATATCATATGAAAACATAATGTACAAATAAAATGTAAAACTTACTTGATGTGTAAATTGAATTTTTTTTATATTGAGTACAATTTTTTCAAATTTTACGACTTAGCAAAACCATGAGATAAGAGAGGTAAAACAACGAGCAAAAATTGGAGAAAATAATAATATTTCAATTCTTACAATATGAATGATATTTATATTATGAATAAAGACATCTTAATTAATAAACGTGTTTATACTTGTCTTTCAGTATTAGTCACATTAATGAATTAAAATAGAGACAAAAAGAGTCACATTAATATATAAATTAAAAAAGAGTTAAGATGTATCTAGAAAATAATATAATAAAAACCTTCTGGTATAATCAAAGAAAATACTCGTGAAAGCCTCGAATGCGTAATAATAAAAAGATGTCAAAGTGTATTAAAATAACAGAATATAGAGAAGCCACATCAAAGTAAGAATCTATTAATCTTGTTAACATTATGTAAAATCATTATCGTTATGCAAGATTTTTCATTCCGAAGGAAGAATAACTTCCTCGGACTTTAATACACTAACAATATTATGTTACATAATAAAATACGATAACCGATTTATACAATGTTAACCTGAATTATAAATTTTAACTTTGATATGGCTTCCATTCAGTATAAGCTGGTATTCATAGGCTATTTTTATTTAAAGATTGTCTTGAGCAATGTATTAAGATGCTAATACAGCTCCGTGATTCGTCGATAACATCTTAAGACAATACTTAATATAAATATATTTAAATATAAGAACCGATTATGAACATGCAGCCTATATATTTTGTAATTTAGACCCACTTCGACAACAGCCATATTATATACATACATATTATACTTTTTCTCGGTACTTCTTTTTTAATTTGTTATTGTACTATATTATGTCTTTTTATATCGATGATTTCAATTTATGCCAAAGAAGGGTAAATAAGGAACATTCATTTATGAAGGTATCTTAAATTTTATCAACAAAAATGTGTGATATTGTAATGTCGGTATTATAAACAAGCAAGGAAATATAATAAGAACAATCTTTATTAAATAATCTCATTAATTAAATTACGAAACGTTTCGACTCATACAGAAGTCCTCTTCAATCATATAATAAATATTATATTTCCTTGCTTATTTATAATACCGACATTACAATATCACATTTTTGTTTTTAAAATATAACAAGCGTTATTTTAGTACTTATATTCTTAAATTTCATATTTAAGAACTGAAATATTATTTCCTCCAATCTCGTTGCTTGCTTATCGTTTGGTCACTCTTACCTTTTTTGTTTTTCTTTTTTACGAGACTTAGATATTATTAACTTAATGCCGATAGGAGCCAAACACAAGGTATCTGCGTGTATAATTCAATTGATTCTAGAAAATAACATAAACGATATATTTAAGGATCCACTGCGGACACATTTATGTGTTACGCGAATTTATCATTTGTATTGTAAAATTCTTAATACTGAACAGGACCCAATTGCGGGTCGGAACGTTTATGTTATTTTTTTAATAAAATAAATTAAATTATATACGCAGACACTTTATGTTTGGCTCTTATCGATATTATTATTAAGTTATTGATTTATTCATTAGAGTTTTTACGAATATAATTTGTTAGATATTATTGACAAGTGTTTTTTTAATTTATTTTAAAAAAATAAAAATTACAATTTATTCCAATGTAATATATTATAAATAATGTTTTTTAAAAGTTACTTTTAATTTAACTAGAATATAATCTTAACTTTTTATTTAGTTTTTTGTTCATACAACTTCCAACGTAATATAAATATTGTGTGGACCAACTATATAACTTAGTTAAGTTAAAAGAAAATAGTATATAAGTTAAAGAAAATATTACCTTTAATTTTGATAAAAATGTAGATTAGGGGAGTCCACCCCAATGATCTTGACCTTGACATATTGTCAAGGTCATGACCCTGAGTGACCTTGAGGAAGTTTTAACCGTCGGACCTAACTCGTTAAAAAATTATTAACAAAATAAGTTTCAAAATTAACATATCATTTCTGCTATACATGTATGATATTAATTACTATTGTAGTTGTTATACATGTATGATATTATTTCTGCTGTACGTGTATGATATTAAGTACTATCTGCACCTTTCCCTGTTCAGAAACGTTAAACTTTTCACGCAAAAGAACTCTCACCTCCCCCACCCTCTTGCAAAGGGGCACACGACTTCTATGATTATACTGTTGCTCTGATTGTACTGTTAGGGGAGACCTCTACCGACGGGGTGGGTACGGGAGAGGGGGGCCGAAGGCAGAAATGATAATATGTATAATTTCCCAGAAATGATACGTTAATTTGGAAGCTTTTTTTGTTAATAACTTTTTAACGAGTTAAGTCCGACGGTTAAAACTTCCTCAAGGTCACTCAGGGTCATGATCACTCAGGTCACAACATATGTCAAGGTCAAGGTCATTGGGAGGGGGGGCTCCCCTAATCTACATTTTTTACCTTAATTTTTGTTATAAAGTTAATAATACATTATAAATTGCAACTTTACTTGAAGTAACTTATTCTTCTATTTTACCAGGAATATGAACGAAGAAATTTTTGTTTCTCTGTCTTTCTAGTCCAAAGAAAATTATTTTGCGGATCAAGTGATGGAAGACAAATCACAATCTCCAGATTTAAACACACTTGAGACAGGTTTCTGTCCACAGTCCACTTGCAGCAATGAAAAACAACAGTTTCGGAGGAATTCTTGTCCCTCTCTCTTTTCTTCGTCTGAGGAAAATTATTTTGCGGATTATCAAGTGGTGGAAGACAAATCACAATCTCCAGATTTAAACACACTTGAGACAGGTTTCTGTCCACAGTCCACTTGCAGCAATGAAAAACAACAGTTTGGGAGGAATTCTTGTCCCTCTCTCTCTTTTTCGTCTGAGAAAAATTATTTTGCGGATTATCAAGTGGTGGAAGACAACTCACAATCTCCAGATTTAAACACATTTGAGACAGGTTTCTGTCCACAGTCCACTTGCAGCAATGAAAAACAACAGTTTCGGAGGAATTCTTGTCCTTCTCTCTCTTCTTCGTTTGAGGAAAATTATTTTGCGGATTATCAAGTGGTGGAGGACAACTCACAATCTCCAGATTTAAACACACTTGAGACAGGTTTCTGTCCACAGTCCACTTGCAGCAATGAAGAACAACAGTTTTGGGAAAAAAAACGAGATAAAAGAAATACTGTTTGTCCCTGTGCACAGTCAACCACAGAAGACATCATGCTCATGTGCTTGACTTTAGGATTAAGACACAATTTAACGTGGCAAGCACAAATTGACATTCTAAAAATGGTAAATGCTATGTATGGAGAAGAAAGGATTCCAAGTAGCAAGTACAAATATTTTTCTCAGATCGATCGAACAAACAATTGCTTAAAATATCATATTTTTTGTCCTGAATGTGAAAGATATGTAGCAAATACTAGTAATGTGTCAGAATCTGTTAATTGCAATTGTGGGCATGTTATCACTGTTTCCTCCTCAAATTATTTCATATCAATAGATTTAGAATCTCAATTCAAGATACTTTTAAAGACTGAAAATATTGTTCATTCTCTTCTTACGTATAGATTTCAACGTTCCAAAATTGATGATACTGCTCTAGAAGATATCTATGATGGAAAAGAGTATAAAAAGTATTTCGATAATGACAATATTCTGTCACATGCTTATAATTTTTCGTATTCATTTAATACTGATGGTATTCCTATGGGTAAATCTTGTGGAAAAACCATATGGCCCATTTATATTACAATAAATGAATTACCGCCAAAGGAAAGGAGTAAACACGTGTTACTTGCCGGATTGTACGTTGGAAAGAAAGATCCAAATCAAAATGTTTTTTTACAACCTTTTGTTGAACAAGCTAATAATTTGTCCCTTCATGGCTTTCACTGGACTCACAATGGAAAAGATGTAATTAGCAAAGTGATTCCTTTGTGCGCTATTGTAGATTCAATTGCTCGATTTCACATGTTAAATATATCTGGTATTAATTCTTATTATGCATGTACATTTTGTTATCAAAAAGCTGAACATACGATAAAAGGACAGAGATTTCCTCCGTCTATACAAAAAGCACCTGAACGAACAAGAGAGTCTACTATTAAAGACATCGAAAAAATACATGAAAGACGAAATGAAAGTGATGTAAAGAAAAAATACGTTAAAGGCGTGAAGGGACCGACAGCATTGTTGCAACTACGTTTCTTTAATTTGATCGGTGGTTTTGTGCCAGAGTATATGCATTGTATTCTTCTGGGTGTTATTCGATTGCATACAGAATTGATTTTTGATTCCAGTCGTAAAAAATTTTGGAAAGTAAGAGATAATGGGGAAATAGCAATGAAGTACATAATATCTGCTATTGATGAACGTTTCTTGAACATATGTGCCTTGACTTCTATCACTCGGTCTGTTCGTTCTCTTTCACAAGTTGCTATTTGGAAAGCTTCTGAATGCAGATCTTGGTTAATTTTTTATTGTGTACCGTGTTTGAAAGGTTTTTTAAAGAAAAAATATTTGATGCATCTTGCTATGCTATCAAAAGCTACAAATATTCTTCTGCAAAAGTCTGTTACAAGAGAAAATGTCATACAGGCACACAAATTATTTTTGAATTATATTTTTTTGTTTAACAAATACTTTGGCGTGACATCAATGGTTTTAAATGTGCATCTATTAATTCACATTGCGCAAAGTGTTTTAAATTGGGGTCCGCTTTGGACTCATAATGCTTTCGTATATGAAGGACAGAATCGTCATTTGCTGCAATTGTTGCAAAGTCCAGGTCAAGTTGTAAAACAAATAGCTAGCAAGTTTTTAATATATAGCCATTTACCAATTCTGTATATTGAATTTATATCAATAAAATCGATATTGACATTTTGTGAAGATGTGTTACAAAAAAAGTTACAGCATTTTGTAAAATGTGAAGAAGTAATTCTTTTAGGTGCCAAAGAGAAATGTAAATTTTCACCCGAAGAATACAATTGCATTAAAGAATACAGTTCTGATCTTGAACATTGCACGTCGTTTAAAAGAATGTTATACAATGGTATAAGATATTGTTCTGAAGATTACACAGCTAATAAAAAACATAATGATTCATTTATTTTAACTCTTTATAAAATAATTGCCATTATAAAAAAAATTATAAATGTATCTCATACCAAAGTATTAATTCTAGTGCAAGAGGTTGTGGTGCAGAAGGAACCTCTTTTGTTTGATAAAGATTTTAAGTATATTCAAGTTAAACGAATTACAGGGTACGGAAAATATTTTTGTATTCAACCGTTTGAAATAGATGCTCAGTGTGTATTTATAGATAATATAAATGATAAATATGTTTGTAAAATGCCATATGGCTGTCATGGTGATTAACTGTAATCGACTGTAATCGATAATAAGCAAATAAATGCAATTGCGTTCTGCAGAAACTTATTTTTTGATTTCTTAATGTTTTCCAACTATAGATGAAAAATCACATAAGAACTTATTGAGAATAAGTTTAATTAATATATGTAGACATTCCTGAATTTTTTCAGATTTTTTGACTGTACAGTTATTTTTTAAATAATGTTTTAAAGACAAAGGATTAAGTTTAACTTAAAATAATTCTTTTCTAAAATGTTTAATATATATGGGTGGCTCATTTTAATCGACGCACCCGAATATCTCCTAAAATACGCCAGCTATAAAAAAATGTTTCAAATAAAAATGGAATGGTGTCGAGGGGGACACGTTTTAGTCACATTGTTTTTTTTCTAAGTGGAGGCGCTAAAAAGATATGAAGTCACCTCCACTTTTTTAAATGGAATTATGTAATTTTTTTTAGATAACGTGATTTCTCTAATTATTTTGCATATAAAAGTATTAAGGTAGATAGAAACAAGATACATTGTAATTTCCTGACGAAAATATAAATCGGAAACAAAGAGAGAGTGATGGAAGCATAAACAAAACTTCTAGAAAGCAAAAATTAGGAACATTTACGGAGCGTTAACTTTTCTTTACGTCCGAATTTTCGCTTCCTCGAAGTTTTGTTTATATATGTTTCTGTCATTTCATTCGACTTATTATTAGTCTACATCTACAGATGTAGGAAGCCTTAAGCCATAAGAAATTATTCAACCAATCGAATATGAGAGTAATAATCGACTATGATTAGTTAATTCCTTACGACTTAATGGTTATTTCACTCATTGCAGATCCGGACTTACCCAGTGAGAAATATAACAATCGATTCGACGTCGATTCCATTGTCATTTCTCACTGCAGGTTGAGCCTGCGTACAATGGAAGAATATTAGATATTAGGAACAAGAATTAGAGTTTTATGATTATCAATTTTCTCTGAATCAATACTACAGATAAATAATAAATTATATTGTGCGTCTTGCATGACACATTTATGTCTTATATCTTGTTCGTATCCAATGTGTGTAACGTAAAATGTTCATCGAACAAATGGAGACAGAGAGATTCTAAAATTTTAATACCTCTATTCCTTATAATGGCTGCGTTCAGCAGAAAAAGCAGCTTTGCAACTGTAGTAAAATTCTTGAATATGATTGGCTTATACATTTAGATCTAATGAGGAAATAAGGGCAAGACCAATCATATTAAAGAATTTTACAACAGTTGCAAAGCTGCTTTCTCTGCTGAACGCAGCCATTCTAATATTTTCTTCTACATTGTATGCGCAAGTCCTTACGTTCCTTAGACTTAATTTATGTCTATGACAAAAAAATTATAAACATATGTATACAAAATGTATGCATATACAATAGTATTTACTACCAGAAAAACTTGAAATTTAATTGTTATATGAGTCGATCGAGGTTGGATAAAAATTTTGATTAAAACTAGAAATTCTCTGAGTGGACTTCTTTTATACAATTATAGTATATAAATGAATATGCATTTTTTGTCAACGTATAATTATAAGATGTTATATTTCTGCAGAAGGCAATTTATCATAAACTATTGCCTCCGATTTGTTTGTAGTAACAACGAATTACCATTAATGAAATGGTAAAAAAATTTTTTAAACTTTTTTTTTATCAAATTCATTCAGTACAATTTTCCTAATGTTTCTGCGATGGTAATGTCGATTCAAAATACAAAAAGCGTATTAGAAAGCTTCGTGGAGTGTTCGAGAAACGTTGATGGAAGAAGTGATGTACAGGAAACGTGTCCGCGAAAGCTTCGCTTATTTTTCGTGGAACATTGGAGAACATTCGGAAAGCGTTGACGGAGAAAGCGTACAGAAAGCGTATCGGAAAGCTTCGTTTGCGTTTCGTGGAGCGTTAGGAAAGTGTTCGGAAAGCGTTGACGGAGGAGCGTACAGAAAGCGTATCGGAAAGCTTCGTTTCCGTTTCGTGGAGCGTTCGGGGAGTGTTGGGAAAACGTTGACGGAGGAGCGCACAGAAAGAGTTATCGGAAAGCTTCGTTTCCGTTTCGCGGAGCGTTAGGAAAGTGTTCGGAAAGCGTTGACGGAGGAGCGTACAGAAAGCGTATCGGAAAGCTTCGTTTGCGTTTCGTGGAGCGTTCGGGGAGTGTTCGGAAAGCGTTGACGGAGGAGCGTACACAAAGCGTATCGCAAAGCTTCGTTTGCGTTTCGTGGAGCGTTCGGGGAGTGTTCGGAAAGCGTTGACGGAGGAGCGTACAGAAAGCGTATCGGAAAGCTTCGTTTCCGTTTCGTGGAGCGTTCGGGGAGTGTTCGGAAAGCGTTGACGGAGGAGCGTACAGAAAGCGTATCGGAAAGCTTCGTTTCCGTTTCGTGGAGCGTTCGGGGAGTGTTCGGAAAGCGTTGACGGAGGAGCGTACAGAAAGCGTATCGGAAAGCTTCGTTTCCGTTTCGTGGAGCGTTCGGGAAGTGTTCGGAAAGCGTTGACGGAGGAGCGTACACAAAGCGTATCGGAAAGCTTCGTTTGCGTTTCGTGGAGCGTTCGGGGAGTGTAAGAGAAGCGTTGACGGAGGAAGCGTACACAAAGCGTATCGGAAAGCTTCGTTTCCGTTTCGTGGAGCGTTCGGGGAGCGTAAGAGAAGCGTTGACGGAGGAAGCGTACAGAAAGCGTATCGGAAAGCTTCGTTTGCGTTTCGTGGAGCGTTCGGGGAGCGTAAGAGAAGCGTTGACGGAGGAAGCGTACAGAAAGCGTATCGGAAAGCTTCGTTTGCGTTTCGTGGAGCGTTCGGGGAGCGTAAGAGAAGCGTTCAATCTTCGGTCAGTCAATGGAACGTCAATGAAGCGTCAACGAAAAGTCAACGAAGTGTTAAGTTTCTTCATTGACATTTCTTTGACGCTTCAAGAAGCTTCCAATTTTCACCAGGGAAGTAACATCCGCGATACCGTCGCCGACCGGTTTACTCATAAGTCACGAGCGATAACTTTAAAATATATTCATTTAACTAAACAACTGTATTAATTAAATGAAAGTTACAGTTACTAAAAAGCATTGTAATCTTTAGTAATAAATAATTATATAAATAAAGGGGTACAACATTTGTAATCAATTATCAAATTGTTAAATAAAAAGGGTTATTTTAAATAGAAGTGTGGTGAAGTGAGTGATTGTTCGACGACCTTTTCACTATCCTCGTCTTTCCTCGTGGGTCCCAACCCTTTGAGCGGATCGGATCCCAAAATAATATCTTGTTGCACCGAGAGGTACAACATTATGTTACAATTCGAATAGTTGGTTACAATTGTCGAATTGATTTAATTAAAGAATATATTCGGGTTAAAGTCCTCGCTCGTGAATTAGACCGGTCGGCGACACTCGTAATCGCGGATGTAATATGACTCGGTTCTCGCGACGCGCGTAACGTATCGTTACGTTTAGATGTATGACAAGACTCTCTCGCTGGTCCTTAGACCGCCGAATATATAGGCGTCGCGGAGTCATTGAACTAGCGGCATTAGTGCCGTGTGCAATGCGGACATCGTCCTCTTGCATTTCGGCAGTTCGTTGTCCTGTCGAAATGCAAGATTTGCTTTTTACTAATAATTGTTCGATGTGCGTGCGGTCATTGCTTGCGTTCGATCAGTGATCGTTGTCCGCACGCCTTATGGAATTTTCAGCCTTGCATTTCCGCAAGTCGTTGCTATGCTGAAATGCAAAGGTTGCTTTGCAGTAATAGTCTTGCATTTCCGCCAGCTCGTTGCTAGGCTGAAATGCGAGACTTAATTGTGGTAGCACTCGCGGGCTACAACATAATGCATAATTCTTTAAATACATTGCTGAAATTATAATAATTCAGTAGATCAATTTTACGGTTTAAAGCTTAAAGCTTATTAAATGTTACGCCTTCAAAATC